GGCTAGATGGACCTTTGGTCTGACCCAGTATGGCCATTCTTATGTTCTTATGTACTGAATTTAAGTTGGTGGCCCAGAGTAGGAAAGTCTTTCCAGCTAGTATTATAATAATCTCCGTGGTGTTCTTTAGTTCTCTCACCCAGCCCTCACCCTAACTACGTGAAGGGGTTAACATGATCTTCATGGACCACATCTTCATTGGCCAGTGTGGGCCACCCATGCCAAATGGCTGCCTGAAGAAGGGTGCTGCATGTGGGAACGCTGCTTCACTGAAGACAGCATGTGAAGGAGAGTCCCCTGCAAAACTTAGGGGACTTTAGGGGGTAGTGAATCTACATACCCAGGTAGGAACAGAGCCAGGATGACTCTAATCTTGGGAAAAGTGCTAGGGGATCTATAACTTCCAGGAGTAGCCAAGTTCTCAGCTTTCCTTCTCATCAAAGATGGCATTTCTTTTCACACAGTACACCCAATGCAGTGTTCCCTGTAATCTGAGCGCTTGGGAGACCACTCAGGAGAGATCCAAATGCCACCCAGCTGATTCGCAGAGCACCCTCAGCGAGGTTCTTGTACCTACTGGTAGGCACATTTGCACATGCCTTGGTGCACATAACAATGTATTCTGCACATGGATGGAAAAGATTAGAGAGAACGTTGCCCCAGTGCCATTTGGAGGCATTGGTTCATTCCTGATGGGGAAATGTGCCATCTGTTCCCAAACACTCCTCCTATCAGCTCCCTCAGTTTTTCCCCACAAATTGTAGTCCAGATAGTAAGTGAATCCTGCTCTGTTTTGCCTGTGAAATCTCATGGGAACGCAGGCTGAGGTGACTGGACGTAGGGGGAGCCCCACTGGGATACCTGAAGGAAAACCAACATTAAGACTCCATGGCACAAAAGAAAAAAAATCCTGAAACCATATGCTCAGATCCAGCTTAGCACAAGTGCCAGGTCCCATAAATAGCCCTGCTGAAACCAGGGGCTGTGAGTGCCTCCTGCCAGCGACCATTCCCGGCCCTGCCTGTGACAGATGGGGAGACTTTAGTGAACGTTTCAGACCCATTCTCTGTTTCACCCTGGACATCTTCTTTGGGGCTGCTCTCGCTGGAGCACGGTGTGTATAGGGGGCAGCATCTCAGAAACACCTCACCCTTTGCAGTTGCCAGAAAGGCCAGAGGTTTGCTTCCCAAATTCACTTTCTTCCTGCACAAGGCCAGATGCTACTCCTGGGATTTCTTGGTTATTCTGTGGAAATTCTCCTGAACTATGGATTCCAGCCCTAAGTGACAGCCTGGATCTCCTCCTTCTGCCTTCCCACAGATGTTTAACTCCTAGCCAGTATGCTATAGATATTGCAGTCATCCCTCCATCACTGAACCCAAAGGGGAGTCATATGGACCCGCTGCAAATGCTTCCATCCCTCAAATATGTCCATCCTTCTCCCCACCTCAGCAGTCACAGAAGAGGGAGCCTAGTGGGTGATTCAGTGCAAAAGTATTTCATATGAAATGTATTAAACAGACTTGCAAGTTCAAGGGCAATGCTGGGACTAGAAACGATGGCTCCATTCCTCTGCTTTAACCAGTCGATATCCTGTCTGCACAACCTACTACTGACCTCCTCCCATCTCTCTTAAATGAGCCCTTGGTGCCCTGAATTTCACAGCACTTTATACAGATAAAATTACATGAAACATTTCCGCGTTCATCTGCCCTGTGTGCTAGACACAGTATTGCCAGGGGTTTGCAGAGATGGGGCTGCTAACCTGGGGAGTCCCTTCACATTCAGTCTCCTATGCTGTAACATGGGACGATTCTCCCCATCAGTCCACATGTACCATTGTTCATGATACATGTGATGGAGGCAGCAGCATGTCTACCAAGCCTGTCTTTTCCAGTGCAATTTCCACTGTCCCCACTAGCATTAAACACATTTTCTCCCTGCTATTGATGAAAAACTTTGTGCGGGTGGAAATGTTTTGACAAGCTCAAGACCCATTTGTGTCTGAATATTGTGCGACCTGGCTACTGACTATCTTCCCTCTCTCTGTGGTATCCTGAATGTAATCTCCCTCCCTCATTCTTTCCTCCCTTGCATGGAGATGGGGAAGACACAGTTGCTTTAGCTTTTGCATTTTCTCCTTCTAGTCACTAGACTCTGCAATTTACCTCCACCCTTCCTTTGCACTAGCATTTGCCCCCAGAGATTACTGGTGAAACCTTATTGCATGACATAAGTTATCTCCTTACTCTCCGAATAAAAGCTTGGGAGAAAAGGCTATGGCTGGACAAGTACTTGAAGGGCCACTGGAAGAAGCATACATTCTTTTCCCTTATGTTTTTAGTTTTACATGTCTCCCAGAAAGGAGCCAGCCACTTGGCTTCCATCAGTCCCTAGCAACCAGCTGGGGAAAAGTGGCAGATTTAAATGCCCCCATTTATCTTGGAGGGAGTGTCAAGTATCAGAGGGGTAGCCGTGTTAGTCTATAAGGTGCCACAGGACTCCTCACCGCTTTTGCAGATTCAGACTAACTGAAGTGTTGGAGCATAAAATGCAAAGGGCTGGGATTAGCATCTGAATACCAGGGCAGGACTATTCCCTGCAGTTGGTTCTCCAGAACTTTGGGTAGTCTTAATAATACCTTATGCCCTGAGACCATCTTTCATCCGAAAATCTCCAAGGCTACGTCTACACTGCAGTTTTGGCACAAAAACAACTGTTTTTGTGCAAAAACTTGCAGCGCGTCCACACGACAAGTGCAAGAAAAAGTACAGTAGATTGTCAGAAGACAGGGCTTTTTGCACAAGAGTTATTCCTCTTTCTATGAGGAATAAGCCTTTTTGCACAAGAGCTCTTGCGCAAAAAGGTGTGTGTGCACGGGGAATAGGGGTTTCTTGCATAAGAAACCTCTATCGGGAAAAGCACAGGTATTCTGATGGCCATTCTGTGAATGGTAATCTGAGTTTCTTGCCAAGAGCATCCATGGCAGTGTGAACGCTCTCTTGTGCAAAAGCACATCTCTTGCACAAAAGCACATGGCAGTGTGGATGCGCTTTTGCACAAGACCTTTTTGTGGAAGATCTCTTCTGCAAAAAATTCTTGCGCAAGAAGCCTGCAGTGTAGACATAGCCCAAGTGTTGCAAACTTTAATAAAACATGCCAGATTCTGAGATGCAGCATATCTCCATGTGGAAGATGGGTAAAATGGTCGTATAGGGTATGTCTACACTACAGAGGAAGATCAATGCTGCTGCTGTCAATCTTCCAGAGTTCGAATTAGCAGTCAGCTAATTTGAAGTGAGAGGGGCACTCTGGTTGATGCTGGTAACCCTGTCTTCACAAGGAGGAAGGGAAGTGGAAGGAAGAGTGCTCTTCCTTCAACTTCCTGCAGTATAGACAAAAGTCAAGTTAAGCTACTCTGACTTCAGCTACACAATTAATGTAGCTGAAGTTGCGTATCTTAATTTGACTTTGTCCCGTAGTGTAGACATACCTGTCAAGGCTGATCCCCACTCAAGCACTCCGAATGCAGAAGGTGGAGGCCCGCAAGAGAGCTTCAGAATCTTGCCTCTACAGGTACTGGTTACAAAAACTCCCCCCCCCCCCCCCCCGCAATCTC